CCAATCAGATTTGAGGACCGGAACTAACTGTATAATTTGACTTAAAAGTAACACATTTCTGGTTTGGTTGATTAAGGGGTTTGAGACATATACTGATGGGGCTGTGGGGGCAGCATGAGATAAAAAAGACTGGGAAACACTGAAAATATATATGTAATCGTCATAACAGTAAACAGTTAATTGTTTTAAAACAGTGTGATATTGGTTTACTTTCTCTTTGAATCTCTCCATCGACACGCAGGAGATGGATTTCCTCCCACCTTAAAACTTCTCACTCCAGTCACCTCATTTTCATTTCGCTCTGCTCGCACACGCACCCTGAAGCTGGCAAAACCCCTTTTGAAAATGTGCTTATTCAAATCTCACTGAAATTATTCAAAGCAGAGAACTGTTGTTGCTTGGCGAGAGCTCCAGTGTGACAGCTGCTGCCGATCTTTGAGGCGGTGTGCGTGGGCCCCTCTGACGGACGGACCTCTTTGTGGCTTGTCCCTGGGAAACCCTTTCAGTCTGCAAGGTCGAGAGCCACTCTCCCACACTGCGCCGCTTGCGCCGGCCAAACCTACAGTAGAAACCGGTCACCAAAAGTGTGCAAGGCAGCTGTAGAGAGCTCGAACAATATTTTTCGCGTTCACATAGCTGCCTCTCACTGTGCCTTTGTCTGAAGCCATTGTGCTGCCATTGAAAAGATGTAAAGCTAACTGTATTGACAGCATATAAATAAAAGCCTTTTATTTTGAAGGTGCTGTGGTGGTCGTGCTTTATGTGTGTGCCACCTTTTAAATATCTAACAAATGTCTCTTACTGTTCCCTTTATAACCGTCTCTATTAAATGAATAGTCCAGTGCATGTTGCTCATAAAATTTGGAAAAAAGCTCTTTCAGCATGAGGTCAAGGAGGATGAGGAAAAAGGAAAGTGTGGGAGTATATATATTGGAAATAAACACAGAAAATTATCCAACTTCCAAAAAGTGAAACAGTGAAAAAGCCCAGCAGCTGATTGTTGTTTATTATATGATGTACAGTGATGGAGGGTTAAACAGGAAATAACCAATATGACTGAGCTTAGTTTGAAAGCCTCAGGGGTTCTTAAAGGGACAGTTCACCTAAAAATGACATTCTTGTCATCATTTACTCACCTCCATGTCATTCCAAACCCTTTGACTTTCTTTCATGGAATGAGTCATAGGTACTATTTTTATGGATATTTATGTCATTTTGGAGCTTTAATGTCAGACTCTGTTCAGTGTTTCGTGTGTGTTTTGCTCCCCCACGTGCTCCAGGTTATGTCCATGCCCATATTTGGTCCTTCCTGTTTCCTGTTTCTATTATGTTTATTGATCCCAGGTGTTTCTCGTCTTCCCCTCGGCATGTCTTGTGTATTTAAGGTGTTTCCTGTTTTGAGTTCTCTGTCCGGTTTTGAACGTCGATCCCCGTGTCTTATGTGTGATTCCTGTGATGGCAATAAAGACTGTTAATCCTGATTCTCCTGCAGTCTCCTCACTCCTTGTTCCTCGGTCCTCACCGTAGTCACACCGTGACACTTACAGCCTGAGTTCCCATTTTCTTTGTATGGGAAAGAATGTCTGGTATATTCTAAGATTTTTCTCTGTCGTGCTTCATTGGAACAAATAACGTCATACAGGTTTGGAACGACATGAAAGTGAGTGAAAATGATGATTTAATTTTCATGATTTAAATTCCCTTTTTCAGTATTATAATCAAATTATTCTGCCTTCCCATGATGTCCTGAGCACTGGAGCCGTATTCAGCAGAACTCTGAAGTGTTTGTGCAAGTGATCTGTTCATTCTTAATGAATTTACCCCTCAGCTGTTGAAATCGATGTTACCCATGATAGTTCACATTTGACTGCTAGAGTTTTCATGAAATCATTACGTGCCAATAGACTCTCTTAATTTCTTGATTTAAAGTGAATTAAATATACATTTGAAGAACATTTTATTGATCTTATTTTAACAAACAAGTCAACATCAAAATTTGTCAAATTTAAATTTGTAAAAAAGAAAAATACCTTTTTTGGATATGATAATCACCCATGTATCTAATTATAAAAATATCCAATTATATAACAAATTAATATCCAATTTACAGCAAATCGATCTTAATATCAATGTACATTAATATTTATATTCACTTCATATGCAATTGAAATGTTCAACTGTTCAGATTTGTAACTTTACATTAATACTTAGTTTTCTGGTAGGTCTCCAAGCATGCATGTTTGAATATGCATAAAATCGTGATATATCACGTTAGTCAAGCTCGCATCAGCTGACGACATCTATCTAAGCATTCATACATAAGTTCCCTCAGTATTATCAGCAGTTTTCGCATTGTTCAATAGCTACTAATTATCCTTTGAATCAGACTAATTCTAAAATGTGTACATAAAATTATTGAACTTTATTACACCTTATATTCAGGTAGATGGGGATCAGCTGAGTCAGTTGATGCGAGCTTGACTAACGTGGCCTGCCAGAACTAACACTATGCTTGATTTATATCAAGAGCACGCTCACCTGTTTTTATACAGTCTATGATACTCACAGATGAAAACAACAGAGAACAAAACAGTGGATTAGAGCCCTGCACGGGCCTCAAATATAGGCCCTAGCCAGTATTTTTTCCCCTTCTCCCAAAAAAGCTTATGCAACTATTTCAGCTATTAAATTAAAGTTTTGATTGTAATGGAAAAGTGATTATATTTCATTTAGTTTTTGTATAAAGTTAATTTGGAAAAACATTTGGAGCATTTTTTTATTTAGTTAAATGTAAGTGTGTTTTTTTTTTTTAAAAGGAGACATATTATGCCCTTTTTACAATATGTAATATAAGTTAATGGTGTCCCCAGAATGTGTCTGTGAAGTTTCAGCTCAAAATACTCCACAGATCATTTATTATATAATTTTGAAAATACCTATTTTAAGTGGAAGCAGAAACAAGCTGTTTTTCGTGCCTGGCTCTTTAAATGCAAATTAACTGCTGCTCCCCGCCCCCTTTTTCAGCTCTGACCTGCTAAAAACATCTGTTTTGGTTCTGATTATCATGTTTATCGCGCTGAAATCATGCATTTTAAACCATATGAGTTTAAACTTCTTATATACAGTTTTCTGAGAGCACACATTCGAAGCACACATACAGAAAGTGGCCACCACACAGCATGTGAGTACTAAACTAAGTTCTCATTCAAGTTTACGTTAAAAACACACGAGTTACAAAAACAGTCGGTTATGTCTGTGAAGGTAAACAGCTGGGAAATAAATAGTATGTTTATTTTAGATCTGTGTGGCAGCAGCAATATACAGTAAATAAATCAATAAATGCACTGCTCTATTGTCTCCTCTGAGGCTGGGACTCTAAATATTGTTCTGTGCTTCAGACACGCTCGTTTTCTCAGAAGCTTGCAGAAAAAGGCTTGAGTGGAAGCTGAAGCACACTCTGCAGGACATGGAGGCGCCAGCGCGATCACTTGCATTTTTTTCTAACAGTGGAAACAACTTAAAATACGCAGTCATTTGTGCTCATAAAGGTAAGTGTAATGCTTCACTCTAAACTGTAAAGGGTCTACTTTTATTTGTGTGCACTCACAATATCAACAAAACGTTGTGCTTTTATAAAATAAAACAAACACTTTCTGCCGTCTCAGTCTTGAGCAGGAGCGCTTCACAATGATGAACCTAAACTCAGCGAATTGCCTCACAGGCATGATAAAATATATATAGAAAGCTTTATATTAGGCTACTACTTTAAAATGAAATAATTCAAATCAAAAATAGAAACTCTTTCATTATGTAATCCCTAAAGATGCATGTCTCTCTAAAGTCATATCTAATGAGGAGATGGCGAGTCATTTTTTTCATCACCATAATTGATGGATGTCTAAAATATAAAAATAAGGAAAAGCCTAAAACAGGCCTGATTATAATTGATATATATATATATACTGTATAATATAATATAATTCTGTACAATTAAAAAAATAAAACACAAATTATAATGGCATATAGGACAAAGTTTTACATATAAGTATAGCTGCTTATATTTTCTGATTTTTATGTTGCTCTGTTCTGAATACCTTAAAATTTAAAGGATTTGCTGCAAGGCAATTTTTTCTGATATGTGAATTATTTATTAGCCTATTTTTTTTAATACATGCAGCAAATGCTTTAAAAACAGCTTTAAAAATTACTTTATTGCATTCCAGACTCTTTTAAAGTACTTTTCACTACAAATTTTACGGGTAGCTTGAATGTAAAACATTTGTCATTAATTCGTTGTATTCCCATTTGTAAAATAGCCTACAAATTAATTGTTGTAGTCTAACCCGATCTCATGAAAGTGCGTATAGCACAATTTTCTGCTTCTATTTGGCTTAATATTTATATGCAGAAATTGACTTTGGCATGCAAAAGACTGATAAATTCATAAGTAATGGCATGGCTGGTTCAGTCGACAGAAATACGGGACACACAGGCCTATAATAATTGCTGAAATGTTTGCGGGGCAAATCTCAGATCAGTCTGAGCGCTCATGGTACACAGAATGCGTACAGCCGTACACTTGCAGTTGCAGGCGCCACTGCTAGCTACTGTCCTGCTGATTTGATGCTGTCTGTCTGTCAGATGTGTGCGTGTGGTGTGGCAGCCATGCTCATGCTGTTCTTATCGTTATGTTCTTAACACTGCTTATAATGACATACAGGCTTATGCTCTGATTAAACGGTGAGGTGTATTCAAGCAGGTGTAACTATTTGTTGTGTTGGCCTATTTTGATAACAGATGCATTTTAGGCTAGGCCCACCCAATTTTCTCTGGGCCCACCCACATTGTAATTCCTGGCTACGCTAGTGAGTCACAGTGGTGTGGGTCGGGGGTAACCCTCCCTCTGGAATAGCTCATTATTGGCTGGTTGTAATTAAGGAGCAATTTATACAAAGATTACTTTAATTAGCCAATTAGCTGATCATTTGCAACATGAGAGTGCTGAAGCAAGTGCCATTTGCAGAGCTTTGGTCTCATCAGACGAGCTTACTCTTACCAGCTTTCTGCTGAGATCCCTCTGATCGAGTGAACGGCTGTGCAATTGATGAAAGCAGTGCGGTGACATTGTCACGATCACGACGAATGGCTCGAGGACACATCCAAGGCCGTTAGCTGAAGGGTCATTGAGTTCAGGTTTGCTTTTAATGTGGTTCCAATTAACAGTGTATATACCTGTTTGTCTTCACTTATGCATGTGACATAGTTGCATGCATTAGTCTATATAAATGTGTATGGTGGGGTCAGAAACCTTTTTGACATGAAATGCCATTTATATGTACAGTATGTATGTGCGTATGGCTATACTGTATAGACGAATGTTCCAGCATTATAGTGTTTATTTTTTTTACTAATTACTATATTATTTGAAACAGTGTTATTTTAGTATCATTGAGATACTGTTAGAGTTTATATTACTATTTGAATTCATCTTTATTTCTATATTTTACATTTTTATTTAATTTTTAATTAAGTTTGAGTAATTTTGTAGTGTTTTTGTCATTTTAGTATTTTTTTTTTAATGCCTATTAATATGTAGAGATCATTTTTTCAGTTTTAGCTATTTATTACATCAAATTAAACTAAATTAAAATGAGAAATGTTGCCTTGGCAACTACATGAAAAAAAAAAGTCAGTTAAGGTTTTTTATATTTTAAATTGATTTTGTTTAATTGTATTTTACTATAATAACCCTGATTTTATAATGGTCGATGTGTTTGATTATACAGAGTGCATTTTGCATTTTGTAGTTTTGAGAGTCGCTGTCAGTGTATGGAAAGCATTCTGGTTTGTGTCTTGAATGCTAAGAACCTATCAGGAGGAAACCTCTCAAACATTAATAGTGGTGACTATTTAAATCATGTAGGCCTAGTGTTCTGTAAACAGAACAGCATGTCCAATGTGCAAGACTCACAGAAAATGCAGCATTGGCTAAATTGGCCACTTAGACACTTAAAAACATAATTCATACTTTAAAACATACTTAGTGAAGGATTGTTCATGTTCATCCAAAGGTGTTTTCCTGAAATCAAATCTCAGTGATTATAATGATTGCTGTACACACCACATAAGCTCTTTTTATACAAGTTGTTATGCTTGTTAAATTAACCCATATGCAGAATGGGATGAGCGGATCATTTTACTGACTATATCTTTCAGTTTTGTTCAGCACAATATGAACAAATCGTTATTGGAGTTATTGTGTTCATTTGTTAAAATGTTATATTTTCAATATCTAAATTCCCAGAACACGTGCAACCTTTTATCAGAATTAGGAAATCATTATAATGCAGCCAAAGATGAATTAAAGAGTTGTTCATTTGTTACATGACAGGCATTCATGAATGACCCATTTCTACTTCTGGTATGAAAAAATGCAGTTGGTTTCTGGTTTACAGTGTGCTGCTAGTTGCCTATTTCCTGAAATGCCATTTAAAATGAATGTCTGCAAGCATTCACCACTGGCTGTATATGCCGTCTTTCAAGTTCAGTGGAAAATTGTTTTCAAAGCTTTAATCTTAAAAAAATGGCTGGCAAACATATGCCAAGACCATTTTACTATTTCCTCACACAGAGGTCTGTAGCAAATATTTCATCATATATCCGCTTGAACTGCAATCCACAGAGGATTCAAGAAGACTAGTAAAGGGCATCAGTGCCAGTGCTCTAAACTACAACTACACTCTTCAAACACTGCAGTGAGTGGGAGAGAAGAGAGAGACCTGATGAACTCATGCACAACAGATCTAATATTAGGCTCTGAACCAGTTCACAGATATATACAGTTGTGCTCAAAATTATTCATACTCTTGGTAAATATGACCAAAGAAGGCTGTGAAAATTAATCTGTATCAATCCTTTAGATATTTTATTTTAAAAATTCACATAAATCTAACCTTTCATTGGAGAATAAGAATTAAAAATGGGAGATAAATCTCATTATGAAATAAATGTTTTTCTCTAATACTCATTGGTCACAATTAATCAAACCCTTTTATCCAACACTTTTTGCAACCTCCTTTTGCCAAGAGAACAGCTCTGAGTCTTCACCTATAATGCCGGAAGAGAGAGAACATCTGACAGGAGATCAGAGACCATTCCTTCATACAGAATCTCTCCAGACCCTTCAGATTCCCAGCTGCATGTTGATGCTTCTCCTCTTCAGTTCACCACACTCATTTTCTATAGGGTTCAGCTCAGGGAACTGGGGCTGGCCAGATTTGATTGGTTTTGATTTTGATGATTATTTGTGGAGCATTGTCCTGTTGGAAGATTCAACCATGGCCCATTATAAGATTTCTTGCATGGAAAGTCCGTTTTTAATTTTTTATCCATTGGTATTTTATAGAATCCATTATGCCATCAATCTGAACAAGATATCCAGGATCTCCGGCAGAAAAATAGGCCCACAACATTAAGTGACGTGACGTGACATGTGGCCAAGTATGGTGCCCGGGGAGCAGTTGGGGGTTCGGTGCCTTGCTCAAGGGTACCTCAGTCGTGGTATTGAAGGTGGGAGAGAGCGCTGTACATTCACCCCCACCTACAATCCCTGCCGGTACGAGGCTCGAACCCACAATCTTTGGGTTACGAGTCCGACTCACTAACCATTAGGCCACGACTTCCCCGTGTTCCAGCAGTATTTTTTTTGAAACCCTTCCAAACAACAATTTTTTTTGTTTTTTTAGGCTTTCTGACCCCAAGACTCAACAATTTTCTGTAGTTCTCCAGCTGTGATCCTTGGAGTCTTTGGCCAATCAAACTCTCCTCACCGTGCATTAGGACGATATAGACGCACGTCCTCTTACTTTATTAGAGAAAAATATTTATTTCATAATTAGATTTTTCCCCACTTTTTTTTACTTTAATTAAAGGTTAGATTTTTATTTTTGAATGAAAGATCAAGTGGATAAACAATGCAGATTTATTTTCACAGCCAGCTTTGATCATATTTACCAAGGGTATGAATAATTTTGAGCACAACTGTACCAACACATAGACATTAGACATATGTATTTTTGTATATATTAGTTCAATTTACTTTGGTTTATGCATTACAACGGTTTCATTCTATTCTGTGTAATTTTAAACCTTTAGATACGGCACCAGCACTCACCACACACACACACACAAATCCTGTTCATCAGTAAACAATGAATAAATTATATTTCTAATCTCATTATAATATTTATAATAAGTGAAATATCATCAGTGCGTGAAACACACTGTTAATGAGAAGGCCATCAATGCTGCTGCAGGCTAGTAGCAAAAATACATAGCATTTATTATTCAAGAACTGAATCCACTACACTTAGAAAATAAACTATGTATTTATCGGCAAATTTAAATAAACCCATAGCAAGCAGGACATGATTTGTGCAACGCTATCAGCGGGTCATGATGCACTAAATACAATATTTTTGCTACTAGCCAACCTGATCTCATGAAAGTGCGTGTAAATAGTACGCCAAATAAAAACTTGTGGTACTGATACGCAAAAATGGATTTGGCGTGTATATGCTATGCGATGGGTAGGTTTAGGGTTGTGGGGTAGATGCGCATCATATGTACGCGAAAACTGCGTATCATATGTACGCCAACAAATTTGGTATCATATGCACGCGAAAACTGCGTATTAAATGCACACCAAACACATGCGTATCATATGCACGCCAAAGTCCATTTTTGTGTATCAATACCACGAGTTTTCATTTTTATTTGGCGTACTTTTTATACGCATTTTCATGAGACTGGGCTTTACTAGCCTGCAGCATGCAGTTTAGTGGGTTGTGCATATGAATTGCACTCAGTGCAGTGCAATTCTGTTGAGCAACACATTTTAAACACACTTTACTAGTGTTTGTCTTCTAATTTAATACATAATTAAAACAGGCTTCAAGACTATAAATGGTTAATGCATAATAAAACTACTTATGGCTGTCTTTTTTATTATTGCTCATGTGCATGTAGTTTGCTGATCTCTAGTCTACAGCAAACTAGAGTAACATTTTCACAGTAAAGTAAGCGGGATACTGTTTATTCATCAGCCCCTTGGTTTCCTTGGTTCTGTCTCTCCATGGGGATGGAATCCGATGCTAGCGATACACTCAGCTGCAACCTGGCAAGGCCTTGCGTGGGCATTCTTACAAAAGACCATGCTGCTCCCCTAATAATATTTCATTTGAAAACAGGGCTCAAGAGCTACTAAACAGGTCAAAGCATGCACACTGTGGCTGTTCGAGACAGCAGGGGTAGAAATAGGTAAGCTGTGTGACATCTTTACAGCTGTAAGATTGATGTTGTTTCCCTCCTACACGGCTGCACTTTCCCCGTGTAACCGATTAAGCTTGAATTGCAAAGACTAGGTGCAATAAGGGTATCTAAGGACAACCTTGGCAGTAACAAATTTAGTCAGCTGACCAAGCTGAAAAAAAAATTTCCAAACAAAAAGTAAATAATCAGGAGTATGTAGCACAGTATGCCAAGTTTGCCAGGGGATGAAGGGCATGCGATCCTGCCCTTATAAAGAAGACCTAAAGAAATCCATGGAGGCAGTAAAAAGACTAACAGTTTTTGGTAGAAATGAAATCCAGTTCTACCTGCCTTAACTTGTAACCAACAGCTGCAGAAACCTCCATTCAGCATCAGGCCATCTGTTAAGAGCATGTAGCTAGAGATCAGTGTGCCAACAATCAATTATTAATGCAATCATTTACATCACCACTGATGAACACAACAGATGACTGCGAGCGGTAATTAAGATTACAATTCAAAAACGCGTCCTCATATGATAATCATCATTAACACCCTCACAGAATCACCAGAACGATTGTAAATCCTCAAAATGTGACATTCATATTTAAACAAATATCCATTTCTGCTGTGTTTTGAGATACTTGGGGGCAAATTCACTTAATGGTTGCGCTACGTGAGCGAAAAAGCCTGCAGGTTGCGTAAAACCATACGCAATCTTCCATCTTAAACTAAATATACTGAAATTGTGCCGTTTTGTGATTTATTTATATTAAGCCGATGTTTTATGCAAACACGCCTCCTTTATATGTAAATTAGGCTCATTATAGATTGCACTGCAGAGCAGTCTGCAAGATTGGGATGCGTTCAGGACAGATTTTGTTTTGAATGGTCTGTTTGGCTTCTACAGCTATATGTTCTCCAGTAGCGAGTGTGTAAAGTACAGTATGTGCACTGATCAGGCCTATGCTTTGGCATGAAAGCAATATTTTTTCAACGCTAGCATGTGCATGCTAACGGAACAGATCTGCTCTCTTTTAATGCCAGGCGGTGTTGTGAGGAACGTCCCGCTGGGTTGCGTGTCCATGCTGGCTCTGCAAGCCACTTCAGCTATGCAGCCTGGGCGAGATGGTCCAGGCAGTGTGCCAGGCGAGGGTGGTTCAGGCCTTGGCACAGGATGCACTTCCACCACAACGATGGGAAGAGATGATTAGCAGCTACTAAACGTACAGACCATGCAGTCACTCAGCTCAGCCAAGAACAGTGGGAAAATTCACACACTTTCTCACTCTTTCCGATGATCTTTCTCTTCTAGGCCGGAGAAGAAAGTGCCAAAGATGACAAGACAACAGTTGTCTTTGGTTCCCAAGGCTATGCTGGACTGTGTATTAGACGGTTTACTGTTTTTCCTTGTTTTCACTCTCAACTTTTTTGCCTCCTACCATTTGTTTGTGTGGAGAAAATGTTGAGAAATGGATTGGGAATCAAGGAGTTCTTATTCAGAACTGATTTATTTGTTTAACTCTTCTGCTGTGCTGAAAATCCTTTACTTAATTTGGTGTTCTCTGTCAAAAATGACCGGCTTTTTTTCCTTGTAAATCTCTTGCTATGCTATATTTTCACCAAATCATGGTTTCAATTATTTTGTCAACTTGTTTCATTTCAATTGGCACATGTTTTGGAACTGATTGGTTATAGGGCTTTTTAACCTGAGCTTATGCACAGCAGTTTTTGAGTGAAATAAGAAGCATTATTTGCAGATAATTTTGGCAAAGCTCACTGAAAAACTGAGGTGCATAAGCTCAGATCAATGAGGACTACAATCAATCAGTTCCTAAAAGAAATACAAACCAGTGCTAACTGAAAGAAAACAAGTTGATAAAAAGATTGTAATCCTCTACAGGTCAAAATGACCGGAACACAATATGATGGTTTCTATATATATGTAGACTTGTGAGACTGAAATCAGTGCAATTGGAACCAGATTCCTCACATTTCTTATGATTCTCATCCTTAAGGAACTACCTTTACTGCTGATGAAGCCTCATCCCTCAGGTTACTGGGACAGGAACATGTCTGTAAAACTTTGAAATATTGTTGTACCCATCCTTGTATATGTAATCTATAAAAATAAACTACAGGAAACGGCTGATTTTCATTAATGGTCTGACTGGCCATTTAGTATAATAGAGATTTAGTCTCCCATTAAGGTTTATTTTTTCCACAAGTTTACAATCACTCTTAAGCACTTGAACAGTTGATCGATTCCACGTGGTGATGCAGTGTTAGTGCTGTGAATGAAATCAATAGCGAGCTCTCTTCATCTGCCAAGGGAAAAAGGAAGCTTACAAACGTTATGTTTAGCTTTTACAAGGTACGAAAATGTTACAAAAATAACTGACATCTAGGAGTGAGATGTTCATGTTTGAAGCGATTGCAAACTGCGATCAAATTAATTTCATGGTTTGCTAATGAACTAAATAATTCCCAATTAAATGCATATATCTGCTGTTAAAAGCCCCCAAATCAAAATAATATAATGTATTTTCATATAGTTCACGTACTGAACCTTTCAGACATTGGTATATGGCAATTGAAATCAGTATTAATTATAGAACTTTTATAATTTGAATAGCACTTTCTATAAATATCACTATAAATGTGTCATTACAAATGAATTTGATGTTCATTTTATTTCCATAATATTGAACACAAGTCTGCTGCTGTTCTAGTCCATGCGTTCACCTTCTAGTTTATATTTTAAATTTTGGTGTATGAACATGTGTAGACAGTCTTTGGTCAGTGTTTCATGTCTCATAATTCTTTTCAGTGTTTCCCAAAACTGAATCCAGTTGTCGAATTAAAAACCTGTGTTCTGTTTTGCCCATTCCAGCTATTCTTTAAAAGAGGAGCACTTAAAATCCGTCACTAAGGAATTCATGTACAGGTCAGGGGGCATGAATATTTGCCTTATTATAAAAAATATTTTTTTACCAATTTATTTGTGTAATTAATTGTATTAAATTGACAGCCCTCATCATAACCATTGTCTGAAGTCATTATAGGCTAATTCTAATACTAAAATGACAGCACCATTCATTTCCTTTCTTTAAAAGCATGCTCCATTGTCGCTGTTCACTGAAACCTTAGCTTTATACAATTGCCAAAGAATGAAAGCTTAACAAATCATAATCTTCACCACAATTAGGACATATAAATGCTGGTCTCAGATCAGCGCTGAAGGCTTTTAAGTTATGTGGCTATTTTCCAGATCCTCCCCTCCCTTCCTTTGCATTGCACAGTATACAATGCAGCACTCAAACAACCTGAGCTCCAGCCAACACAGAATCAGTTCTTTACTGATTGTGGAAATACTTACCGGTGGGATATCTGATATAAATGTATGTTACTCCACTGCACAATAGTATCTCATTTGATTGTGTTTGCATTAGTTGGCATGATCACTGTACTGCTGGTCGGCCTTTGTTCATGTCAGATGTAATCTACCAACCTTATCATGGGATACATAGGCGGAGGGTGAATCAGCTGCAGGGTAAGGCTAAAAGTAGCTTATTATTCTATTAAATTCGCACATCCAAAACCCGTCTTTTTAGGCAAGTAGCAAATGTGTGATGTCATAAAAATTTTTAATACAACTATTTAACGGGATCACATTTTAATAAAACATTGTAAGTTACTAATTATAACGCTATTGCTTCCACGATTATAAATTATACAGAAAGCGAGCAAAGAACATTATCAAAGAACATTACACTTCAGTCTACCACAATCGACACTTTTCATTTAATTGCCATTTTATTTGAGACACCTGTAACAGATTTAGTTTAATTGTACAGAGGCAATTTTGTCCAATTTGGTGACATTTTTGTTATTTCTGACCAGTGGCCAGGGGAAGGCTATAGCCTTGCCCAGACTTCCACACACTCCACCTATGATGGGATACAGTGTTTTAGAGGTCATCTCTTACCTATTGTCAATAATAAAATTTACATCAATTGTCAATAAACATCAGAATGTGTAAGGATGGTGGATGACTAGGCTACTAAAAAATGAGCTAACTAATTCTTTAGCTGAAAGTGATTCTTTAGAAAAAACAGTACAAGATACATGGCTAAAACAGGTTGTTACATTTAAAGGGGTCATATGATGTGATTTAAATTTTTTCTTTCTCTTTGGAGTGTTACAAGCTCTTGGTGCATAAAGAAGATCTGTAAAGTTGCAAAGACTAAAGTCTCAAATCCAAAGAGATATTCTTTATAAAAGTTAAGAGTCAGCCACACCTACCTAAAACGGCTCGTTCTAACATGCCCCCACATATCTACCTCACTATGTGGGAAGATTTGCATAACGCCGCCCAAATGTTCACGCAAAGAAAGAAGGCATAACTTTTATTCTCGCTGCAGTATTGTTGCCATGCCATGTCGTGAAGGTGTTGTGTGTTTCGTTGTGAAAGCGAAACTACTTTGTTTGGCCTTCCAAAAGAGGACAATATCACTTGGTCATGCCTGGAGCTGATCCGTGCTGGTTGCTGAGGAAATACTTCAACTTCGCGCTGTCGATCACCGGATCGGCTTTCACCGTGGACGTGAAGTCCAGCCCGGGGTCATCACATGTGGTTGCTGCAGGCATCACAATATGGTAAGGGACGTAACATTTCCGTCACACACTTGAGGAATTCGGCCAATCACAACGCACTGGATAGCTGGCCAATCAGAGCACACCTCGCTTTTTCAGACCGATGAGCTTTGTAAAAATCAACGCATTTCAGAAAGGCGGGGCATAGAGGAGAAACAATAATGTACAGTATGTGGAAAATAATGTGTTTTTTTTTACTTTAAACCGCATAAACACATTTCATTACACCAAATACACAAAATAATGTTCTTTTTAGCAGCATCATATGACCCCTTTAAAAAAACTTACTTTTTTGTAGTGTTGTACACAAATGATTTGTGTAATGCTTGTGATTTTACACTTTTTTTGATACTCTTCATCTCTAGACTAATAAATGTTTACATGCACTCATTTTCGTCAGTCAAAATTAATCCATTCCAATTTCGGATTCTAAAAATAAACGGTTTATATGAACCCTTTATTAGAAATCTGAATCACAGATTCATTTTCATGTGCATTATATGTATTCTGAACAAAATTTCAGCACACACGCAGTGCCCAGTTGCCATGTTCAGAGTCAGACTACTTCAGGTTTACACCACCACTTTCAATCTGATCAACATTTCATTCGGATTGAGCTCAGTCAGCTCGACTGTGTGTGTTTACATCGAGCCATCAATCCGATTATGAACAAAACATGTCCGAATGATTCAGACTGAATCCCTAATCGATTCACACTGCTTTCCACTTGACCAGTTCAAAAGGAACCGACAGTAAAAGAATGATTCGTTTGGAAAACAGCAATAGCCAACAGAAAATAGTGGAGACACTAAACAATACCTAATAAATCTTCTAGCCTACTGGTTCATGTGATTTTGCAGGTTAGCTCACCAAACTTGAACTCGCTGCGAAATGTGAAACTTATTCGCATAAGCTTCAGTGTCCAGTATTTGTATGCATATGAATGCATCATGTAGGGCCAGTGTAGTGTGACCTACATGCCTATGATAGTAATTAATTAATCATGCCATAGTCATTAGAGATCTGTTTTCTAATTTTGATGACAGTGTTTTACAAGGTTGATACTTCGGTAGTTAAATACCTCATGCTGAACAGGTTTTCATTATGACAAGGGAATGGATGCAATACAACTTCACATTTTGCCACAGGCTTATTCCACTTAGGTGTTCTCAGAAATGTCTTTTCTGCCATCAGACAGAACAACACGTCCTCCTCCTGCCGTTGATGCCAATCTAGCCTATAGAACTAGCATATCTAATGAAGACGACTCACGCCCCTATCAGTTTGTTTTCTATCCTTCAGTGGGTAGATGCGCTGTTATCCCGTTACTTCAACGCATTGCTTTTCTGTAACCATATACAGTGAATCAGATTCTGTGGCTACAGGTTCACTTTTTTCTGATATCGATTAGCCAGCAGGCTTTCAGTCTGGTTTGCATCTGTTGTAAAACCATAGGTCGCGCAGAGCAAAAATAGATGCACAAGCTCTTGTTTTCCTCATGGACGCATGAGCGTGTGTGTGTGCTCGCTGAGTTCCGCTCTGACTCTCGCCGAAGGAATCTGCTGCTCGGGCAGTTTGCGCTCCCGTGAGTGAACCGGAGTGAACTGATTGAATGATTAGTGACAGTCGACTCATGCTGGAAGAATTATTCTCTGGAAGAACAGCTAGAGCTGGAGCTCAGGGAGATTAGTGCGCACATTTACTGTGAATGCACTATGTTGTGGATGTGTGTTTTAGCCCTCACACTGAATAGTACAGCGTTGTCATTGATACTGACATTTGGATTCAGTGGTGCTTGGTCTGTGAATGCACCATTGTATCAAAAAAATGTCACATCTGTAAATAAAATGCCACTTCTGAACATTTAAAGGAATATTCCAGGTTCAGTACGATTAAGCTTAACCAATGTGTGCCATAATGTTGATTTAAAAAGGCAAAAACAAGGTTACAATGAGGGACTTACATGGTTAAATAAATAAATATTATATATATATATAATTTTTAAAAATAAAACAGATTATTGGAGTATGTTTTTACTAGAAAAACATTTAGTTTTTCTGCTTCAAAATTTTCATTTAGTTTTTAGAAAAACATTTAGTTTTTCTGCTTCAAAATTTCATTTAATTTAATGTGAAATTGAAATTCATTGGGACACTTAGTTGTTTGTGAAATTTCCTACTGAGTGAAAATTGTTTCTACACACTTTTTTTTCAGCGTACAATAGTGAATGAAGTGAATTTTTGGGATTCAATTAAAGATAAGAATGTCATAAATGCACTTACATTAATTTAAACATATTAATATTAAAACGTATATTATTGTATTATTTTAGCAGAAAACTGTTTAAATTAAAATTTTCATAGTTGTTTTAGGGTACTGACAACAATGTTACAACAACAATGTTGTAAAATTGGATATACAGTAATTTTACACACATGATTTTTTTTCATAGTAAGCTTTACACACATCGTGTTTACATCTTTATTTTAC